GCACCTGTAATTCCAGCTACTCAGGAGGCTAAGGCAGGAGAATCACTTGAACCCGGGAGGCAGAGGTTGTGCACTTCCTCCAGCCTGGTCAACAAGAGTGAAACTCCATCTCAAATAATAATAATAATAATAAAATAAAGTCACCAGCTACATTAGCCCCTAACAGGATAATCAGCATGTCCTTTGAAGCTTTGAAACCAGACGCTGGCCGCTTCTTTCTAGCTCTGAAAATCCTAGATGACACCTTTTTCCAGTAGAAGCCTGATTTGTCTACATTGAAATTCTGTTGTTTAGGGTAGCTACCTTCGTTATCTTAGCTTTAGCTGTATCTTTTGGATAACTCATTACAGCTTCTCCGTCAGCACTTGCTTCACTTTGCACTTTCATGTTACTGAGAAGCTTATTTCCTTAAACCTCTTGAACCAACCTCTGCCAGCTCCAACTTTTCTTCTGCAGCTTCCTCACCTCTCTCAGCCTTCATAGCATTGAAGGGAATCAGGGCTTTGCTCTGGATTAGTCTCTGGCTTAGGAGAATGTTGTGATGGTTTGATCTTCTAACCATACTGTAAAAACTTTCTTCATATCATCAAAAAGACTGTTTTGTTTTCTTATCATTCATGTATTCAAGGAGTAGCACTTTTAATTTCCTTCAAGAACTTTTCCTTTGCATTCACAGCCTGGCCAACTGTTGGGCACAAGAGGCCTAGCTTTCAGCCTTTCTTGGCTTTCAACATGCCTTCCTTGCTAAACTTTAGCGTTTCTAACTTTTGATTTAAAATGAGAGACTCTTTCTTTCACTTGGACACTTAAAGGCTATTGTAGGATTATTAATTGGCCTAATTTCAATATTGTTATGTCTCAGGGAATAGGGAGGCCTGAGTAGAGCGAGAAGGGTAGGGGAAAGGTTGGTTGGTGGAGCAGTCAGAACATATACATTTATCAATTAAGTTCGCTTTTCTATACGGGCAAGGTTCTTGATGTACCAACATAATTATAATAGTAACATCAAAGATTACTGATCACAGATCATCATAACAGACATAATAATAGGAATAATAATAATGAAAAAATTTGAAATATATATAGCACGGTTTGATTTGTAGCGTAGCACATTGGCCAGTTTTTGTAAATTTTCCATGTGTGCTTGAAGAGCGTGTATATTACACAATTGTTGGGCATGGTGTTTATATATTACTATTTATCAGGTTTGATACTTGTTCAAATCATCTGTGCCCGTATTGATTCTATTTTTCCACTTGTTTTAACAGATACTAAGAAAGGCAAGTTAAACTTTCCTGCTATGAGTATGGATGCCTTTTTCTCCTTTTAATTCTGCCGATTTTTGTTTTATGTATTTTGAGGCTTTATTATTACATGCATACAAAATTAGAATTGTTAAAACTTCCTGGTTCATTGAACCCTTTTTTCATTGTGAAGGATTTTTATCTCTAGTAATGCTTTTACTTTAAAGTCTACTTTGTCAGGCATTAACTAAGCTAGCTTTCTTTGGGTTAGTGTTTGTATTTTTATCTTCTTTTCTATTTTTACTTTCAGTTTTCTTTATATATTTCAGATGTGTTTTTTATTTTAAAAAATTTTCCTTTTGCTTTGTTTTACCTTTGTTTCATCACAATTTTGGTCTTTTAATTTTATATTGTGGTCTGCTTATATTTAATGTAGTCACTAATTTTATTTGGGTTTAAATCTGTTATTTTGTGTTTTCTCTTTACCTTTCCTGTTTTATGTTCCTTTTTCTTTACTTTGTCTTTTGGTTTGATAGCTTTAAAAAATCATTCCATATTTCTTCTCCACTAGCTTATTATTTACACATTGTCTTACTATTTTGGCGGTCACTCCAGAGATTACAACATAGACCACTGACTTATCAAAGTCTAATATTTACTGATTGTTCTGCTTCTTCCCAGACAATAAACCTTATAAGACTTGAACTCAGTTTGTCCTTTCTTAAATGCCATTTTTATGGCTCTTAATTTTTAAAGAATATCCTACCTTTTATCTCCGAGTTCTTTCTACTTCAAGAATAATCTCATTTTCCCTCTAGTGTAGATCTGCTATTGACAAGTTCTATTTTGGCTTGTTTGTTTGTTTGAGATAGAGTCTTGCTCTGTCACCCAGGTTGGAGTGCAGTGGTGCGATCTCGGCTCACTGCAGCCTCCACCTCCTGGGTTCGGGCACTTCTGCTGCGTCAGCTTCCCGGGTAGCTGGGATTACAGGCGCCTGCTACCACGCCCGGCTAATTTTTGTACTTTTAGTAGAGACAGGGTTTCACCATGTTGGCCAGGCTGATCTTGAACTCCTGACCTAAAGTAATCCACCAGCCTCGGCCTCCCAAAGTGCTGGGATTACAGGCATGAGCCACAATGCCTGGACTGCTTTTTTTATTATTGAAGGTAAAGTTCACTGAGTATAGAATTTTTAATTAATAGTTATTTTCTTTTAGTCGTTAAACATTATACCATTGTCTTCTGTTTTCCACTGTTTTTGCTGAGAAGTCTTCCCTTAGTCTAATTTTTTCAATATTTTTCCTTTAGTCTTTGAACAGTTTATTATGATCTACTTAGGGTTAGATGCGGGATTTTAAAAAATCATGCTGGAGGTTTTGAATCTGTGCTTTTGTATCTTTGTATCAGTTTTGGAAAGTTCTTAACCATTACCTTTCCTTTTCCCCCCCACCTTCCCTCCACTACCATTATCGCTTATAATATTCCTTCTACCCCATTCTTTTGGGACTCTAATTACAAGTATGTTAGGCCTATTCTCTGTATATTCTGCGAGTCTTACCGTTTCTTCTATATTTAATTAATTAATTAGACATGTAGTCTTGCTAATGTTGCCAGACTGGTTTTGGACTCCTAGGCTCAAGGGACCCTCCTGCCTCAGCCTCTCAAGTAGCTGAGATTATAGGTGTGCGCTACCATACCTAGCCTCCATTTTTTTTTTTTTTTTTTTTTTTTGAGATGGAGTCTTGCTCTGTCACCCAGGTTGGAGTGCAATGGCGCAATCTCGTCTCTGCAACCTCCACCTCCCGGGTTCAAGTGATTTACCTACCTGGGTCTCCCAAGTAGCTGGGATTACAGTCACGTGCCACCACCCCCAGCTGATTTTTGTATTTTCATTAGAGATGGGGTTTCACCATGTTGGTCAGGCTGGTCTTGAACTCCTGACCTTGTGATCTGCCCGCCTCAGCCTCCCAAAGTGTTGGGATTACAGACGTGAGCCACTGCACCCGGCTGCCTCCATATTTTTAATCTTTTGTCTCTCTGTGCTAAATTTTGAGTATGTTTCTGATCTGTCTTCTTGCTCACTCATTCTTTCTTCAGCTATGTCTAACCTGCTATTAAACTTTATATTGAGTTTTTATTTTCACTTACAGTATTATTTCTCAGATATCCATTTTATTATTTCATTATAGTTTCCAAGTTTACAGTCTTCTTTCAGCTCCTTGAAAATAGTAAGCAGAGTTACTTTTTTTTTTGAAACGAAGTTTTGCTCTTATTGTCCAGGCTGGAGTGCGATGGTGAAATCTCGGCTCACTGCAGCCCTGCCTCCTGGGTCCAAGTGATTCTCCTGCCCCAGGCTCCTGAGTAGCTTGGACTATAGGCTCCTGCCACCACATCCGGCTAATTTTTTTGTTTTTTTGGTAGAGGTGGGGTTTCACCATCTTTGCCAGGCTGGTCTTGGAACTCCTGACCTCATGATCTACCTGCCTCGGGCTTCCAAAGTGCTGGGATTACAGGCATGAGCCACCGAGCCTGTCCCTCCACCCCCACACTTTTTTTATTTTGAAACAGAATTTCGCTCTTGTTACCCACGCTAGAGTGCAATGGCACGATCTCCACTCTCCACAACCTCCGTCTCCCAGGTTCAAGGGATTCTCCTGCCTCAGCCTCCCAAGTAGCTGGGATTACAGGCCTGTGCCACCACGCCCAGCTAATTTTGCATTTTTAGCAGAGACAGTGTTTCTCCATGTTCTCCAGGCTGGTCTCAAACCCCTGACCTCAGGTCTGCCCGCCTCAGCCTCCCAAAGTGCTAGGATCACAGGCATGAGTCACAGCACCCAGCCTTCAGAGTTACTTTTAGATTGACCTGGTAGCCTCGGTATCTGGGTCTTTCTTGGATTGCTTTCTATTGACTATTATTTTTGTTGGTTTCATTTATGTTACTTTGTTATTTTCGGTGTAATTGTATTTAGTAATAAGCCCATGAAGTTACTTTGTTTTTGAATCTCTCTCTTTTTTTTTTTTTTTTTTTTGAGGCGGCTGTTTTTGAATCTCTAATACAGAGATTCTCTAGAACAGTTGGGAAGGCCTTTAGGACTTGGTTAGTAACCAGCCATGAAGATTTACTTTCATACCCGTAGGCTCCTCTTCACCTATCTAAAGTCTCCCCATTCTATAGTGGCTAAATTTAAGTCTCACTTCTATAGAGCCTGCCCTGACGACGCCTCTGATCTCCTCGTGTATCATCTTTCCAACTTCTGTGGCACTAGGCCATATTGTCTTGTATAGTGTAACTTACCATGATTGTAAACTGTGGGAGGACAGAGACAAGTGTACTGTGTATTTTGTATGCCAAACCGAGTCTGCCACCTTGTGGGGAAAACAACACTGGCCTACCTCAGGGACTTTGTGAGGGCCAAATGAGGTAATATATGAGAACAGTTCTTATAACCTATATAGCAGAATTGTAAGGAATTATAGTTGTTGTTAGCATATGGTCTATATGAATTATAGACCGTAATCTCTGTGAGAGCAGAGACCTGTATTCCTAGAGCCTATCATATACCTGACAAGAGGTTTCCAATAAATATTTCTTGATTTAATTTATTATCTGAATGAATTTGGCCAGATTCCCTCATTTTTGTCTATTAAATAATATGAAATAGGAATGATAAAGACTTACAAGAAAAGGTTAAACTTTACCAAAACTTTACCAAAAATTTCATTTAATTTCTTTTTTCTGTTTCACAAATCCGATAGGTTTATCTCAACATGTAGTTACCAATTACAAGCAAGTAATCCAACTCTTGGAGGAGGGAATTGCAAACAGGTAACAGGTTTGTTTGTTTCTATCATTCTTTTATCCTCACACTCCTATCCTGTGTTCCCATTTCCCTTTGGGGAGTGTATAATGACACTTAAAATTGTCTCTGTGTAGAGGTGTTCACAACCAGGAGGCTCTTTCCAGAACAGTAGTGTTCCCAGGTTAAGGGGTGGTGACTAAGATTTAGTCTCTTCTCACTAGTAGTGAAGCTGGAATCTGTTCTGGACATAGTAATATTAGGCAGTAAGCCCAAGGAAGTTACTCTACTTTGTTTAGAGCTTCTAAATTTGGAAGAAAAGATTCTTACCTGCATTGTCCTCTCCTCAGGTTTGATAGATATAAGGACAAATATAGTGTAAAAGTTTCAGAAAACCTTTTTTTTTTCTAGTTTTGCATACTTATAAGGTAGCCCCCCGAAAGACTGTTTTGAATCTGCTATGAATAACCAGGTGCTGTAGATTCCCCTAAAAGCTATTGTAAATTGTAATAACATGCCATGTTGTAAGTTACTATGAAATACCTAGAATATTACTAGTAAATGTCCCTAAAAAAGGCTTTTTTCCCTGGGGTAAAAAAGTCTATAGAGCCTTCTATTTATCCTGTTAATAGCAGGACCAAGTTAATTGAACATAAAGGAAGAAATTTATATTTAACATTCTCCTGAGCTTCATGGAACTCTCCTGGAGACACTTGCTTCTGGTCTTCAGGATACCCTGAGCTCCGTGATTTTTCAGTGTCAAATTTGAATCATGAGACTAGCCTCTAGATTTTGGCCCTTTTCTTCAATTCTCCAGATCATCTGAGAACAGAACACGGTGAGATGCTCTTAGATAAAGGAAAACCTCTCCTGACTTTGAAGGTTAACACTGTAATGGATTTCTAAGGGAGATATGAATTCTACCTGGCTTAAGCATGATATTGATGTGATTTGAGATCTCATTTCCAAGATCTTTCTGACACTGTAGAATTAATATTTGATTAATAGAATTTGATTAAACACAGAATATTAATTCAAAACTTACCTTCTCTGTCTTTGAGGTACCTTCTCAGCAAGCTCTCTACATCCACTTGTCTTATTAAAATGGGTCTAAGAATAAAATAAAATAAAGTGAAAGAATAAAATAAAATGGGTCTATCTTGGTCATGTTCTTCCAGGTTGATGACGCTCTAGTCTTCATTTCTCTTTACACTCGAATTTTTGCTTCTATTGCTTAAAAAAAAGTTTCAGTGTATTTTAGTATGAAGTTGCACTCCGTTTTATTCTCAGATAGCACCTGGCGTGCTGCTTCTGCCCTCTTTGGACTATTCCTCTTTACGAAACTGAACTAAATACGATTCTTATCTGTGAATCTCAGCACTAACATTTATTGTATTCCCTATAGATCCTTAAGAATCCACCACGTGTGAACAATCCTCGTCCTAACAGTTTTTCCTTGTATACACAGAATCACAGCAGCCACCCATGTTCATGACGCCAGCAGCAGATCCCACGCCATTTTCACTATCCACTACACGCAGGTTGGTAACCCCTTATGTTTGGTGAGATTTCTTCCTCTCCTTGTACCTTTAAACCACTTTTTTGTCTTCCTTCCTATTTCTGTTTGTTTGTTTTTGATACAGGGTCTCACTCTGTTGCCCAGACTGGAGTGCAGTGGTGTGATCTCGGTTCACCACAACCTGTGCCTCCCAGGCTCAAGTGATTCTCCTGCCTCAGCCTCCCGAGTAGCTGGGATTATAGGCACGCGCCACCATGCCCAGCTAATTTTTTTTGTATTTTTAGTAGAGATGGGGTTTCACCATGTTGGCCAGACTGATCTCAAACTCCTGACCTCAAATTATCCACCTGACTCGGCCTGCCTAAGTGCTGGAATTACAGATGTGAGCCACCGCCCCCGGCCCTATTTCTTTTCCTTTTCTCCTACTCTCACATTTGTAGGTCCTCTGATAGAACCTAATATTATAAACCGGATTTACACACAATCCATTAAACTGTACACCCAGAATGGGTAGAAGCATTTTATAAAGACTAATCAAAATATCTTCTGCTTGTATTTATTTTTAACATTTTACAATACTTTCACATCTGTGTGATCAGTGTGGACATTTAAAACAAAAGGTTGAAAAGAAAATAAGCATTAAAATGAAATATTAGAAGATTCACTTCCATTATGATGGAATGAGGAGGTCAAGTCATATCCCCAGAAAGCAACTATAAAGCTGGACAAAATCCTTTCTGTGGTCTGAAAATAGATTAAAGGAATGTAACAAAGTGAGGAGCACCACACCCAAAATAAAACAATGACCAAAAACTTCCTAAATTTGTGAAAATCATTTAGAGATCTAAGAAGTTCAAAGGACTCCAAGTAAAATAAACACAAAGAGATCCACACCTAGACACATCATATTTAAACTGTTGAAAGACAAAGAGAAAATCTTAAAAACAGCTAGCGAAAAGTGACTCATACAGGAGAACAATTACATGATGAATGGCTGACTTCTCATCGGAAGCATTGAACCCTAGAAGGCAGGGTGCTCAGAGAATGTAAAAAACTGTCAATAAGAACATTTCCAGATTGGGGGGAAATAAAAAAGTAGAATTTATTGGCAGCAGACTTACCTGACAAGAAAACTAAATGAAATCTTCTAGGCTGAAAGAAAGTGATGTTAGAAAGTATCTTAAATCTATAGGAGACAATGAAATATCTGGGAATGGTAAATGTGTGAGTAAATATAAAAAAACCTACATTCTTTCTCATTTCTTCTCCTAACGTCAATAAAAGAATAAGATTACGTAAAACCATAATTATAACAATGCATTTTTGTACATTGTCATATATGAAAATAACAGCACAAGGGAAGTGAAATATATATTTAAGTAGAGTTTCTATATTTTACAGGAATTAAGTTAGTATTACTTTGAAGTAGATCATAAAGATATGTATTGTAATCTGGAGAGCAACTACTAAGAAAATAGCTCAAAAACATAATTTTAAAAATCAGCATTTCTTCTGCCACCTCTGAGCAAAAAAACCCAACAGAAATTAAAATGTTACATATTAATAAAAATACTTAACAGTTAAAGGCAGTGGAGGAAGAGCAGGAACAAAGGAGATATGAGACATAGAAAAAAGAAAAATCAGACATGGATGGTTCTGAGCACATCAATAATTAAATGCATTAAGTGTGAATTGCCTAAGGTACAAATTTTCAAATTGCATAAAAGCAAGACCCAACTATATGCTGTCTATAAGAAACACACCTTAGAACCACAGACACGGGTTGAAAGTAAAAGGATGGGAAAAGATATACCATAAAAATAGTAACCATAAGTCCTAGCCAGAGTAATGAGACAAGAGAAAGAAATAAAGGGCATCCAGATCAGTAAAGAGGAAGTCAAACTGTTGCTATTTGCTGACAACATGATTGTGTATCTAGAAAACTCTAAAGATTTATCCAAAGAGCTCCTGGAACTGGTAAATGAATTCAGCGAAGTTTCAAGATACAAAATTAATGCACATAAATCAGTAGTCCTGCTGTATACCAACAGCAAGCAAGCTGAGAATCAAATCAAGAACTCAACATTTTTTACAATAGCTGCAAACAAAACAAAACAAAACAAAACTTAGGAATATATTTAACCAAGGAGGTGACAGACCTCTACAAGGAGAACTACAAAACATTGCTGAAAGAAATCATAGATGACACAAACAAATGGAAACCTATCTATGCTCATGGATGGATAGAATCAGTATTGTGAAAATGACCATACTGCCTAAAGCAGTCTACAAATTCAATGCAATCCCCATCAAAATACCACCATCATTCTTCACAGAACTAGAAAAGACAGTCCTAAAATTCATATGGAACCAAAAAAGAGCCTACATAGTCAAAGCAAGATTAAGCAAAAAGAACAAATCTGGACCAGGCACAGTGGCTCATGCCTATAATCGCAGCACTTTGGGAGGCCAAGGCAGGTGGATCACTTGAGGTCAGGAGTTTGAGACCAGACTAGCCAACATGGTGAAACCCCCCTCTACTAAAAATAGAAAAAATTAGCTGGGCGTGATGGTGGGCACCTGTAATCCCAGCTACTCGGGTGGCTGAGGCAGGAGAATCTATTGAACCTGGGAGGCAGAGGCTGCAGTGAGCTGAGATCACGCCACTGCACTCCAGCCTGGGCAACAGAATGAGATTTCATCTCAAAAACAAAACCAAATCTGGATGCATTACATTACCCAATTTCAAAGTATACTAGAAGGCCAATAGTTACCAAAACAGCATGGTACTGGGACAAAAACAGACATATAGACCAATGGAACAGAACAGAAAATGCAGAAATAAAGCCAAATACTTACAGTCAACTAATCTTCGACAAAGCAAACAAAAATGTAAAGTAGGGAAAGGACACCCTATTCAACAAATGTTGCTGGGATAATTGGCAAGCCACATGTAGGGGAATGACATTGGATCCTCATGTCTCACATTATACAAAAATTAACTCAAGATGGATCAAAGACTTAAATATAAGACCTAAAACCATAAAAATTCTAGAAGATAACATTGGAAAAATCCTTCTAGACATTGGCTTAGGCAAAGACTTCATGAGCAAGAATCCAAAAGCAAATGCAACAAAAACAGAGATAAATAGATGGGACTTAAATAAAACAAAAATCTTCTGCACAGCAAAAGAAGTAATCAGCAGAGTAAACAGCCCACAGAATGGGAGAAAGTCTTTGCAATCTATGCATCCTACAAAGGACTAATATCCAGAATCTACAAGGAACTCAAACAGCAAGAAAAAAACAGTCCCATCAAAAAGTGGGCTAAGGACATGAATAAACAGTTCTCAAAAGAAGATACACAAATGGCAACAAACAGGGAAAAAAAATGCTCAACATCACTGATTATCAGGGAAATGCAAATCAAAACCACAATACAATACCACCTTACTCCTGCAAGAATGGCCATGATCAAAAAATCAAAAAAGAGGCTGGGTCCATGGCTCATGCCTGTAATCCCAGCACTTTGGGAGGCTGAGCCAGGTGGATCACCTGAGGTCAGGCGTTCGAGACTAGCCTGGCCAACGTGGTGAAATGCTGTATCTACTAAAAATACAAAAATTAGCTGTGTGTGGTGTCACGCTCCTGTAGTCCCAGCTACTCATGAGGCTGAGGCCAGAGAATTGCTTGAACCTGGGAGGCAGAGGTTGCAGTGAGACAAGATCACGCCACTGCACTCCAGCCCTACTAAAAAAAAAAAAAAAAAAAAAAAAAGGTTGGCGTGGATATGGTGAAAAGGGAATGCTTTTACACTGTTGGTGGGAATATAAACTAGTACCACCGTTATGGGCAACTGTGTGGAGATTCCTTAAAGAACTACAAGTAGATTTACCCAGAGGAAAAGAAGTCGTTATATGAAAAAGATACTTTCACATGCATGTATTAGCAGCACAATTCACATCTGCAAAAATATAGAACCAGCCCAAATGTCCATCAGTCAATGAGTGGATAAAGAAAATGTGGTGGCCAGGCGCGGTGGCTCAAGCCTGGAATCCTAAGCGACTTTGGGAGGCCGAGAGGCCGGAATCACGAGGTCGAGGAGATCGAGACCATCCTGTCGCTAACATGGTGAAACCCGTCTGGTACTAAAAATCAAAAAACTTATGAGCCGGGCGAGGTGGCGGGCGCCTGTAGTCCAGTACTCTCCGGGCTAAGGCAGGAGAATGGCGTAACCACCGGGAGGACGGAGCTTTGCAGTGAGCTGAGATCCGGCACCTGCATCCAGCCCGGGCCTACAAAGCAAGACTCCGTCTCAAAAAAAAAAAAAAAAAAAAATGTGGTATATGTATAAACTGTGGAATACTACCTCAGCCATAAGAAAGGCACGAAATAATCGGCAATTTGCACAACCTGGTGGATTGGAGCCATTATTCTAAGTTAGTACCTTCAGGAAGGAAAACCAACATATTTCCTCACTCATAAGTGGAAGCTAAGCCTAATGAGGACACAAAGCGAATAGAATCGAACAAAGCATAAGGACGACAACCGGCATACGAATACAGAATGGACTCTGGGACCGTTGTGGGAAAGGGGGGTAAGGGATAAAAGACTACAC